CACGCAGTTTCAATTTTGTTTCATAAATAAAGAAATATTTATGTTCATACATTGTCTATCATTTTCTGTGATTTTGAAATTTTGGACTTGAATGGTGTTGATGATATACTGCTGGGCCAGATATCTAGAATCCCCGGGCTGGTGCCCACTGGCTATAGCCAGCTAAGAATTTAAGCCAGGCAAATCTTGAAGCCCCTGGCGATAAGGACAAAAAACAATTAGCAGGGTTAAATGGGAAGACAACAAATTTGAAATCATTTGCTAGCATGATGCATATGAGGAGCTAGTGCCCCTGAACTTAGCTGAAATTGCATTGCAACACCTTGAAAATGAACCAGTGAGTGTTTTAAAACCGACTGTGGACATAATTTGTGGATAGAAATTTCATTGTTCAACACATTTTGGCAAAATCTTTTGAACAAAATCTTTTAAAATTTCATTGCAATACCTTGAAAATGAACCAGTGAGTGTTTTAAAACCGACTGTGGACATAATTTATAGATAGAAATTACTTTTTAACACTATCGAACACAATCAAATTTTTCAATATACCCACTATAAATGTGACATTTTTCATTTTCTAGTTGTTTCCCCGTTGTAGGTTTCCTCGTTTACTCCGTTGCGTTACCCCAGTTGCGTCTAACTTTCATGCCTGGATGACCTTCGCCCGTTGGGTCGAAGTCCTCGAGCCGGGACTGTGGACCCGGAGGGCCTGTCTTCACCGTTGTGCCTCCTGTCACCACCTCGTTGGTCAGATATGGGTATGGGTCAATACCTATTAATACCATTTTTAGTGGGATGAACATCCATAAATCCCAGCGATTTTGATGTGAACTACAGGGGTACTATTGGTTTTGACACACTGCCATATAATAGAAACATGTGCAATCTATAATATATAAACGGGAAGGACCCGGTTGCCTGCGAAGCAACCTGGGGTGTCTCTATGAAATGGGTTTCCAAACATTTGTAGCTCGTATGACAGGTTCACCGGGGTCATTTTGGTGGCGCGTGTCATTTCATAGTGACCCAGATTTCCTATCCCGGAACATTTCGAAACATCCTGAAACATCCTGAAACCAAACCACTTTCAGCCTCGGGTTCTCTATGAAATGGGTTCCCAAACATTTGTAGCTTGTATGACAGGTTCACCGGGGTCATTTTGGTGGCGCGTGTCATTTCATAGTGACCCAGATTTCCTATCCCGAAACATTTCGAAACATCCTGAAACATCCTGAAACCAAACCACTTTCAGCCTCGGGTTCTCTATGAAATGGGTTCACCGGGGTCATTTTGGTGGCGCGTGTCATTTCATAGTGACCCAGATTTCCTATCCCGAAACATTTCGAAACATCCTGAAACATCCTGAAACCAAACCACTTTCAGCCTCGGGTTCTCTATGAAATGGGTTCCCAAACATTTGTAGCTTGTATCATAGGTTCACCGGGGTCATTTTGGTGGCGCGTGTCATTTCATAGTGGCCCAGATTTCCTATCCCGAAACATTTCGAACCATCCTGAAACATCCTGAAACATCCTGAAACCAAACCACTTTCAGCCTCGGGTTCTCTATGAAATGGGTTTCCAAACATTTGTAGCTCGTATGACAGGTTCACCGGGGTCATTTTGGTGGCGCGTGTCATTTCATAGTGACCCAGATTTCCTATCCCGAAACATTTCGAAACATCCTGAAACATCCTGAAACCAAACCACTTTCAGCCTCGGGTTCTCTATGAAATGGGTTCCCAAACATTTGTAGCTTGTATCATAGGTTCACCGGGGTCATTTTGGTGGCGCGTGTCATTTCCTAGTGGCCCAGATTTCCCATCTCGAAACATCTTGAAACATCCTGAAGCTTTCAGCCTCGGGTTCTCTATGAAATGGGTTCCCAAACATTTGTAGCTCGTATGACAGGTTCATCGGGCTCATTTTGTTGGCGCGTGTCATTTCATAGTGACCCAGATTTCCTATCCCGAAACATTTCGAAACATCCTGAAACATCCTGAAACCAAACCACTTTCAGCTTCATGGTTCTCCATGAAATGTGTTTCCAAACATTTGTAGCTCGTATTACAGGTTGACCGGGGTCATTTTGGTGGCGTGTGTCATTTCATAGTGGCCCAGATTTCCTATCCCAAAACATCTCGAAACATCCTGAAACATCTTGAAACCGCTTAAACCACTTTCAGCCTCTGTTTCTCTATGAAATGGATTTCTAAAACATTTGTAGCTCGTATGACTGGTTCACCGGGGTCATTTTTGTGGCGCTCGGCATTTTATAGTGACCCAGATTTCGCATCCCGAAACATTCTATCTAGATAATGAATGAAATTAGACAACGGCGGTATGATTTTATAGTGCAAGGGCAGGCAAGATGTGCATGTTAGGTGTTTATTTTTACCCTTTGGCTTTCATTTCGCTTCTGAACACCTGCCCATTTCGTAGTGAGAAGGTTTCAAGATATGTCTCAACATTAGGAAACAGTATCCATTTCATACAGAACAGTGATCATTTCATAGAGCCAATATATATTTATATTCTTATTTCATAGACGCTGCTCACTGTACATAATCAAAGCGATTGGATGACACGGACGGGAGTTTGGGATCCCATTGTATAGTCCACCTTTTTTGTTGAGCCAATATAAGCAATTTTCGGTCCTTAATGTAAAGCAGGGTCATTTCATATAAAACCTTGGTTTTACATTTTATAGAGAAAATACCCTTGGTTATGCATTCTATAGCACCTATTTTCTCTTTGCAATGCTTTGCAAATGCTGCAGGGTATCAAACACAGGGGATGTAATAATATGTTATTATAAATTTTGATTAGTGTGACTGGTGTGATTGGATGCGACCACAAAAACCACAACTACAATGCTGCAGTGGTTTCCTTGAAGGTCTTTGCTCTCCAGACTCCACTTTTGGCGATTTTGGTCTTCCACATTGTTTCTTTCAGCAGCTTTCGTAGCTTTCTGATTTTTGAACAGCGTTTCTGCATCGTTTCTGCCCCAGGAATCTCAGGAGTTGCTTCGCAGCCTGGAACCGGCGCCGTCCCCGCCGTCCCCGCCGTCCCCAGCCATGGCTCCTGCGGTCCCGGCGAATTCGCCGATGGCAGGGACGCCGGCGCCGGCGTCGCCGACGCAGACACTGCCGCCGGTACCGCCGCCGGTGTCGCCTACCACAGAGGCAGGAAATCAGCTGACGTGAAACGTAGGTCACTACGAGTTCATTGGATAGTTGATACCTGGTGAGGTTGATTTGTTGACATTTCCACCGAGGATGAAAATTTGTACAAATCAAACATTTTGATGTCAATTTCCATTGAGGTACGGGGTATTATATGTTATTACATGGATGCATGTCTCTGAACCGAAAATTGCGTGGACACACCCATCGAACGGTTTTGAACGCAATTTGAACGCCATTCCAACGCCATTTGAACGCCTTTTGAACACCTTTCTCGAGCATGGTTGACGGGCAAAAGCACAGTGACATTTTTCACTGAGGATGCCAGATTTGTACTAATTTTAATTTTGGTTCTGAGTAGAAATCTCAATTTCAAATAGACATTACCAGGTAGCTATTATACTGATAGCTATTAATTTTGATGTTCAAACATGTTCAAACACTCAGAGATACTCAGAGAGCTGCAATTCTGATTTGTTTGATATTCAAAAAAACTGCATGCAAGTGGAATGAACTGTTTGAGGGACAGATCAGAATCAAATCAAAAGATTTGACTGGCTGTTGAGACAGGCAACCAACTCCCATGGCAACTTTGGCACTTAAATGTGGATTGACAATGATTGATACACATAATACATACATACATCATATATATATATATATAATATATATATATTTAAATTCATATACAGCAATCTATTACAAGAGTTTCTAGGCAGCTGCTGAAACGTCACATCGTAGTGTCATTGGTTTGCCGGGCCTGACAGGTTCAGGACTTACGACCTCCAGCTCCAAAGAAGGCAGTACGGATCCCCGGGTCATGGTGGGCTAGGACCTCGGTCGATGGTTCGGGATGCCAAAGGATCCATATGGATCCGTGGCCGAGATGATGACCTTTGTTGCTGTTTGGCTCAGTTACCCCCCCGCCCCCAATACCAACCCCCTGACGTTGCAGGCTGGGACCAGTCTTGAGGATTGGAGGAAATTGATTTTACCTTCATGATTCTTTGTATTTCTTCCATTTTGTTCCATTTACTTTTGAAAGTTTTGGCCCCTTTGGGCAATTTGGGGTGCTTTTGTTTGGGCAGCTGCAATTCCTCAAATCTTCCTTCGTATTGGAATCGGAACTTGAAGCCTCGAAGATTCTCGCTATATATCTGCATATGTGGCAGCTGTAAAGTGAACCCGTGTGAAGCCAGAATATTTCCGGGTGATAGCGGCATGCCTACGTATTTCTCATCGATGGGGGAAGTCGATTCTTCCATGTACTGCTAGCCTAGAGGCGACCTCACATGGCAAAGAACCGAGTCCACACCTCAAAGATGAATTGATGTGAATTGTGAGTGACATGTGATTTACATGTGGGCAGTCCAAATTTGGAACAGGAATAAACAGGAATATGGTAGATGTGTACGATCATGAAATACAGGCCTGCGTTTGAGATGCACATATTTGATAAATCTGTATCTTCTGAAATATATCAGCCAGTTCGATCACAAGCGGGGACACATGTGTGACTTCACACCTGTTAGCAAATGACATGTCCAACACATGAACTGCCATCTTTGTGATAGAGTAGACAACCACGGGAGTTTCTATACCGTCCCGAGTACTTTTCCCCAAATGCTGCACGCACCATCCATAGGCAGTCTTGATCGCACTAGTCTCGAGTTGCCGAGTCCCTTACTTCGGGTTCAAATGGTAAGGATTTGGGTCACCAGTGACAAAGCCAAGGCTTATAGGGGTCGGTCAGCCCAACTTCCCCAACATCAAACCGTTTGAGGTTTTCCCCTGGACAGCGACCCCTCGACATCCGAGGAGTTGTCTGCTGCGGAACATGCCACCATCGGCGCTAGTGTGGGCTCCATCGAAATGGCCATCATGCGACCGGCGGTGCCATGGCAGTGGGATGATTGACAATGATAGCACCAATACGATGCCATATGCCAATGATACCATGTGATGCCAGATACCATGTGCCATATGATACCACGTGATACCATATGAATACCATATGAATACCAGGTGATACCATGATGGCGTGCACTCGGAAAACACACATCGGAGATATCAGGAGATATTCTTCGAGCGACAAATAGACTGGATCCATGGAACTGCCAGCAGGTTTTTCCCCTTGTGATTAGGGGTATGCTCAAGATGCGGTATGATTACCCCATGTTCCGTCAAGTTTAAGGAAGACAAAAGACAAAAAAAAATGTGTATATACATGATATATACGTATATATATATATATGTACCTTCAGCCTCAGGAACCGTCTTTTTTTTGGTTCTGCCAAAAAAACCTGGTTTCTCGGGGAAAAACCAGTTTTCCCAATTTATGGAAATAATCATCCCTTCAACAATCTGATGATTGACCAACCATAGTAAGCTTCACCTATCTCAAACACTGTCTCACACATGTCACTCTTCTTTCTTCCGCACGCTTCTTCTACTCAATGATCTTCGCGTCAACCCACACCTTATAGGAAGCCATTAAATGGCGTTGAAGCGTCCTTGTCATCACCTTTCTGACGTTAACTCTTCTTGATGTTCTGCTGATGCGTCCTACTATGTCCTCGTCCTGTTGGCAGCTCGCTGTCAACGGATTCATTGAATATCCACATGCTTGGCAGTCCAAGCGGATACCCAACCAAGTATGGTGTACAGCATGGATCTTCGGAAAAAGCGGGTAGAGATACCACTGGTTTTGTTGGAAACAGTCTTTTGCCAATGCAGTGTATTCCTGGATAAACGACATGCCCTTTTTGTAAACAAATTTGCAATCATCCATCTCCAAAAATAAGGCAGCATTGTAGAGCAAACTCAGCGCAGCGTTCAAATCCCTGGCTGCTTCCCTTGCCCGAATAAGTAGGCCCTGAGCATCAGGCTGAAGGTCAGTGAGTAGAGGCACCAACCATTTCATGAGGTTTCTTGTTAGAGCTCCTTTACTCCAGTTTCCAGTAGCCCCTCCAGCGTCTCCATACGAAACTAAGTATGCAGTAATCTTTGAAATGTGGCAAGATGTCTTCACTGACCTGCACCAGGAAATGTAATGCTGGGTAAGCCATTGGAAACGGTCGTCATTGTTGGTGGCCGGGACCGAACTCAAAGCCAGCTGTAGAGTCGAACTTACAAACGATTTTCCAATCCCAAGGTGTATGCAATGCCACAGGTCTGGTTTGAAGTAAGAGCTCGGATCATCAGCATCAAACGTCAAAAACTTAATAGGTGATGGAAGAACATCCCAAGGAACTTTGACTTGCATGGTAGGTAGCCAAATTGGGGAATGCGATGTGTCCTCGCACGGGAAGCCACTTTTCCCAGCCAAACACATATGGCAGACGCCAGGTGGTTCTTTCCTAGCAGCTCCCCTCTTCACTGTTGTATTCCAAGAACGTTTCAATCTTCCAATTTTCTGTAAATATGGCATATCTCCTTTGACACCCAGAATGCAAAATCGGTAGGTAATGCCAGTAGCCGGGTCAACAATGCCATTCTCCAAGACATCTTTCAGTTCTTCACACATAATATCCATTGCAGTGTGGAACACATCAGGTTCAGATTGATACTCAGTTTTAGGCATAGCATTCACCACAAGCCTCGTGATAAAGGTATGCCCCGTAAAGTTGATCTGAAGCTTTCGTTCGTCCCTGGGTCTCTTGAGACGCTTCTTGTCAAACCCCCAGCCCAGAATGCTTTGCAAGGACGTCACCATAATGCCTCCTTTTTTCAGGGTTCTGCCCTCGTCCCCGTGTATATACAAGCCAATGGTGGTCGCAGGGTCAAAATTGTCAGACTGAAACAAGCTGTACATAGGATGTAAAATTTCGTATTTTCTCCAAAAGTCTTGCCAGGTTTGCCCCACAGAATCTCGTTCTTGTACATGCAGCCCCGACAGAATGTAGAGCAAACCATTGTTGATAATGTACTGAAGCCAGGATTTGGGACTAATCCATGGAACTTTCTTGCCACGAATATCCATTTCAGTGATGGGGATTGGGAGCGTTGTCCCATGTTTTTGAACCACTTTGTTCACACCCCGCTCACTGTTCTTGTAATCCAATTTTGCCCAATCATTAATTCCCGATTTGTGGGATGTTTCCTCACCCATCTCAGCCACCACAGCTCTTGCCGTCTCGATCTGAGAAGAGCATGAAGCCTCGGAAAGCCGGGGAATGATGAAAAAAATAAACAACATCAGGGGATCAAAAGTAGATAAGGCGAAGGTGTTCTTATTGGGGAATCAGCTTGCGAATGCTTTCAATGGTGATTCAGAAATTCCAGTGATTCTGAACTTCAGCTCAAAAGTCCAAAGCATGGAGACAACTACCCAGATCTTGACACCTTTTTTTCTCCTGGATTCCAACGCTATTGCTAGCCACATGTCAGGCTTCTTTGCGAAGCGATGCCCGACTTAGTTAATTAAGATATGATGCAACCCGTTGGTAATTCATTTTTCAGTTTCCATCACGGCTGCAATGGGACCAAGCAGAACATGGAGGTGCAGATATGATCTGCGGTGGAAATTTGAAGGACCGGTAGACAACATATGTCAAAAACGGTCCACCACCTACAAAAGAATCTCCGCTAGAATCACCACCGCGCAAGACATTCTTGCATCCCTTCCAACCTCAGGCGGCGAAACAGATAGTGAAGAATTATTTAAAGTTGCATCCATAATAAGCCAAGGACTGTTTGACACACATTTTTTTTTTGATAGGATACTAGTCACCACTTCATGCAATGCAATGTGCTTTCGTCGTTATGGGCGTGCTGTGCTGCTTTTGCTATGCCGAGAAGCTGCCATATCGCTGAATCAGCGATGCCTCCAAGAAGGCCGGGCCATAGGGGTTGGAGGAAGCATAGAGGATTACCATATGGGTAAATTTTTCAACCCCATGGCGGTATCCATAAGGACGGTGATGCCATCTGAAATGCGCACAGTGTGTAATCCCAAACTTAAAAGTCATGGGGTTGTGTTTTGAATGCAAAGATTCAAAACTCGAACAGGCATGTGCCAGAACATAGCCGGCTGTTGAGGCAGGCTTTGGCAAGGTGAAAGACATGTGTTCTTCCATCTCGATCTTTTTAAAAACTTCTACAGTTCGATCCAAATTTCGAAGTTCCTCATCTTCCAAGTATCTGGGACAAACATTACTCTGGGATCCAGCTGGCGCTCTGGGATTCCTGGGCCCCAAAGCTGTGGAGCGAACGTGTAGCACTGCAGCAGTAGTGCAATCACTAGACATGCTGCGTTGGGCTCCGTTGGATCCTACTGGTTCTTCTCCACAGTGTTGATGTTGGTGCCAAGGAAATGGACCGTCGGATTCCTTACCATTTGTAGTGCATGACAAGTTGAATTGAGAATCTGTCAAAATATGTTTACCTACATTTTTACATTAAGTTACGTTAGCTGGAGGGATGAATCATCGTAAAGCTGATCCAAAGCACTGAGCGATGACAGGTCAGCAGTTCAGAGAGGAAGTCGTCGTCATCGCTGTCGGATTTGCAATCCATGGCAGTTCGCGCCATGGAAGCACTTGCTGATGGTGCTGCGTTGTGTTGCAATACATGGTGACCCCAAGTAAGGAACCCATACATCACACATGTTTTATAATTCAGATACCATATCATGTAGAATATACTGTAATTTGTGTTCAACTTCAAGTGAAAGGTTTCTGAGTCAAAACGATTGAACCTCCACTTCAGCACTTGTTCCGGTCCAACACATGTGTTCTTTTTGAACAAGATATCACTGGTATAGGTCGGGCGATGTGACGAGAACCCAGCCCGCACTGTTCTGAGGGATAGGCTCCTTTGCCAACATTGGCTGAGAACACTCGAGCAGTAGGGCCAGGACCTGGCTAAGTGGGCCATCCAAAATCGAGTATGTATCGTTTGGGGATTGATGTGGAATAATTGGTTTCATATAGGGCACCCCCAAAAAAAATTGGTGGGATATGCGAACTGCATGAAAATTGAAACCTCTATGCAAAGACTGTATTTTTCCTCCGTAGCGATTGCCCCGAGATTGGTTGATGTGAAATCAAGACGAAAGCCACCTAGGCATCAAATCATCTAAGAACCCTCCTGCAGCATTGGACTTCACGTGCAGCCGTCCAACTGGTCTAAGCAGAGAACCATAATCCAAGAAAGATAACACCACAATCATGAAAGGTTTTGGTTATGTTCTTGTTGGGGGGAATGCACCCATAAACAAAATCAGTTTGGGATTCAACACATAGGAAGAAGGACTGCACATGTTTGCAACAAGCAGGAGTAAATACCCCATGTTGAAAGAGCGATGTTGTGTTCATCAACACAACCCAGCGTTTGAAGTTCACTTGTAAATAAAATTGGATTGACATGTCAGCCAACCTTTCAAGTCGTCACTTTGGACTACGATCCAGATCACTCGTCTCTGGGTTTCTTGTTGAAGTGCCGCTTTGCATTCCTGAGAAAAGGTCCCCAAAACCAAACATTTTGGAATAAACTTGTGGTGAACATATTGCCATCAGCATTTGCCCTCAGCGGGATTGTTGCAGCCAAGGCAAAGAACAAAGCTCATTGAGGACGATGCCGAATCTTGGATTCGTTCTGCCCGATTCGCGTGCACCTGGACGTTGCCAGGACTTGTGTTTGAGTTTGGGTTGGGGTGGCAAAGGTTGAAGCATAGCCCATTTTCGTTCCATGGGGTACCACTTCTAAGAGGGAGAATGTATGAAGCAAGGAACTTAATCTACTCTGCAACCAAGGCACACCAGAGTGCATTCTTTCATGGTGTGCTCAGATTTCTTTGTCCACCTCATTCCAGAATGTGGCCACATAAAATTCAGGATGCAAGGGTTGGTTACAGCCATATCCCAAACAACATGTAAGAAAACTATTGGAAACACAGTTAGACCAAAAGAGTGTGAGGGGAAATTGGCACTTAGTCATAATTTGTTTGTTTGTAAACTGGTTTTAAGCAAGCCACTCGGTGTTGAAGTCCTGGGCCTCACCCTGTGCCAACAGCTCGGAACAAACATTGTACTTCTCCTCCAAAGCCCCCAAATCCCGCTGCAAAGCATCGATAGACCTCAGGATCGTTAAGTCTAAGAGTGTTTCTTTTGTTATCATACTTGTCTCCTTTGTCTACATGGTACAGGTGCCCCCAATTTTCACTACATATACATACATACGTTGTGGTAAAAAGTTTCCAATCTGAGATTATGGCTTGGTAGCTGCTTGGTCGTCATAGTTCTTCTTCAAATCCACAACCAAAGATCGGATCTTTGCAGTCTTTGTAAGAATGCTTTCGCAGAACTTCGACAACACAGACTTGCCACGGATCGCCTACAGAGTAATCAACATGAATATACCATATCTCATATGTATCTTATTTTGGAAAGTGCATTGTAAGCTCGTCTGTCCACCCTTTGTCATGTTTTGTTTTATAGTGACACAATTTTCCATTCTTAGAAATCGATGGCCTCAGAAGTGCTCACAGCCCCAACACTTTGGGAAGCTTTGGTGCGCGCGTTCATCTTGTCAATTGCAGCCGTGGACACCGGTCCCAAGGGTGTCTTGTCAGCGTCCTGAGCCGAGGATATTTGGATGATGGTGGTTGGCCTTCGTTTCCACACTGCGAAGCTTTTGGTAAATCTGGAGTGGCTGGCAGTGACTTGGTGAGATTTCAAAAGTTGAATTCCAACCTAAACAACTAGGGTGTCCTGGGAAATCTCCTTTCGCTGTTTCTTGCTCTCCCTCTCTTGCCCCTTCTCTCCAGTTTCAAGAACTTCGACCCAATATTCCGGTTCTCCACTGTACTTGCAGGACCTTAACGGGTCAAGGAGTTTGCATCGTCAATCGTTGTAATCGCTGGTAAGCCAAAATGATACTGTATACATTTGATTGCATTTGTTATATATATACAAATTCGTTTCAGGGAATCCAGCCTGACCAGATGTGCCTCGTCCTTCATACACAGCTGAATTGCTCCATCGATCTTCTTCCTGAGCAAACATATCGAGGTGAATGGGAATGATGGTGTTTACCGAATGGAAAAGGAAAACCAACAAACTGCATTTAAGGTTGACCTAATATGTTGTTTGGTTGTTTCAGTCAAGATTCACATTCCACTTCAACGTATTTCTCATATCTTCTTTTGAGTACCAGCCCACTGAAATCTTGTGCTTTTCACGGTCGATTTCAGTGTAGGTCTGCTCGCACACCTTGACAAATTGGTCCTCCGAGGAGTGGAGATTCTTCAAGGACAAAGTGAAAGAGATAACATTGCTATGTGAAGCTTGGTCTTGGAAAGGTATGTTCAAATTAAAGGGGGTCCTTGTCAAAGTTTACCTTCTGAAGTTCCAGGGCCATCTGTAAGTGATTTCCCTTCTCATCCTTCCACTTTTTGTGGAGCCACTCAGGAACCAACAATTTGTCTCCCGATTTCTTTTCACAAAGCCTGCGAAGCTTGGCCTTCAAAGCCGCTTTGGCTTTGGGATCCTTAGATCCCACAATGCCCGGGAAAGTAGGGATGAAGTATATATAACTAGATCCTTTTGAACTCAAAACGACACATGTATATATGTAAATGGCATGGTAAACCAGTAAGGAGAGATTGGCTAACTATACGAGAATCTAACTGTAGATTGTCTTCTTTGTCAGCGTCGTCGATGGCTTTGTCAACTTCGTCATCAGTAGGTTCATCTCCATTGGACTCATCAGGGGTTGGTTGTTTCCTTTTGCTAGATCCATTCGTGGTGGGTTTATTCCCTGCCCCGACATCTGAAACTTCAGACAACAGCTGCATAGCTGTCATGGCATCAATTTCTCCTCTTTTGTACATCGCCATCAAGCGGACACGAGCCTGAGTGATTGTTAAAATTTGACATGGAGAAACATAAGGGAGTAGTCAAATATCAACTCAGCACTGACTTAACATATAAGACATATTGCAAACAAGTCCTCATGGATTGAAGTTGGGATTTATACCGCTCAATTTCAGCCAGTGAACCGATTCAGCATGTTCGGGACTTGGTGTTGGTGGTGCTGACATAGCTGGCGAAGTGGGACTTGTGGCAGTGTTACCACTAGCAAGAGACTCAGCAATCTGACTCTCTGAAGCAGGCTGGGTTTCCTCCATCATCTCAACCCCCTTGAAGGCTGCTTGAGGGCTGGCCTAAGGAAATAGCCATGTGGCAATCTCTTTTTTGATGAAAATAATCAACACTTAACACATTTGTTTGCCGATTCTGATCAAACAAGTGAGTCAAGTCACTAGAGCTTGCAGCTCCTTTCTGGACGCATCCTGAGTGAACATTCCACATTGACCCCGTATAACAAAACAGTTTCAAGATTGAATTCCAATAGTAAGCCGGCCACTACTTGCCACATGTTTCAAATAAAGTTCTAAGACCCAATCAGCATCCTGGGCCGCCTCCAAATTGGCCAGGGTAGCTTCAAGTTCCTGGAGATGCTGGCAAATCTAAATCATATATTTATAATTCACCTTAATTCAATGTGCCCAAAACATATTCAGCTAATATTTTATATAGTTCAGCCAAAGGACACATTGATGGGGAGAATACATGCATCTGACCACATGAGAACGACCGCCCATTGCCCACACTTCTCTGAGGAACACATGGTCCTGAAGCTGATTGAGATCATCAGGAAGATCCAGCGAGTTGGCTGCAAGGATTTGGGTCAACCCTGCAGCCAACTCATCCGTACTCCACGTGCGACTCTTCATCGTTTTAGATGTATCGGCTCTCAAAAAGGCCATATGCGATCCCACCCCAACCTGGTTGGAATGGTTTTCCCTAATCACACTCTAAGCCGAGATCTTCTTTAGTCAAACACTTTATGATAAATGTGGTAGTGAATGTTTTCCATGTGGCACAATCTGTGGCTGATCCCTCAAAAGCTGGTGCCAAATGGTCTTACAATGCAATCTTTTTTGGACGTAGTTCTACATCGCTGAAATCATACCTTCCTAATTGGGTCACGTTGCTATGTCAACGTGCTAAAGTACTTGGCCGGTAGCTCATTCCCGGGACCACGTAAACTTCAGAATCAGAAAAATGGTTACTTTTCCTCTTTCGATTCATTCTGGTTTGTTCAAAAGTCGCAAAAAATTATTTAAATTTCATACAAAAAAAAACAGGTTTTTCTCCGTTTTGACCATAAAATTTTATGGGAAGATTACGGGATTTTACGGGAAAGTTACGGGTAAGTTACGGCGTTACGTTTTGACCATAAAATTTTATGGGTAGAACGTAATTTTAACCTGGTAATAGGATGAAAAAACCTGGTTTTTCAAGGTTACGGGAAATTACGGTTAAATCTGCCCAAAATTGAACATATTTCATTTTAGTGCTAACTTGGAGGGTTTCGCCACTTGTATTCCCAAGATGATGCCCCAAAATGATCTATAGGCAATTTATTCAAACTATTATACTTTCAGGTTTTCCCAGGAAAGAGCTTCACAGCTTCTCCGGCAAAAGTGGTCGGAACGTACTTGGGATCAGTAACCCCTTTCCACCTCGCAACCAATGGCACACACTAGCCATATTGGCGTCTTGCCACATATCACTAAAAGTCATTTGGCTGAAACATTGTTCCGCACTGGGAAGCGGTGAAGGAAGAGCTGGCATCCCCAGCTTCTGGGTAACAAGGTTCTCGAACATGGACGCCAGCTTCTCCCCAAATTGAGGAGGGTAGTTCCTGAGCGGTCAGGAAAGAAAACTGGAATTGCGATGTAGCCACACAATATTCACATTTGTTGCTACCGATTTGTGGGAAATTTGCATAAATGTCACTAGAGGCAACTTGTCATGACACAGCTCCGGTTTCACTCTAGAATCAAATAGGGTTCTGACTCACTGGGACGTAGGCCCTTATCACCCTTGAAACGCTGCTTTCCCTCTTTGTCAATGTACTTTTTGACTGTTCGTACACGATCTATGCCAGCAGCGTCTTGCGATTGGACATGCTTTGCCCAAACTGTCAGGGCCCCCTTGTACAAGGATTGAATGGCTGGGGAATTGCTGTATGCTACATGTCGTTTTGGCGTTGGGCCGCCATAGGTAGCCATGAACCACGTCACGCGTTGCACCTAAGTTGAGGGCAACCACGGATATGAGTTTCAAGATAAAGGGAACATCATGAACACCAAGCGAGCCTAGCTTGATCTAAGGTACATCTTGCCACGACTACAAGTTGAACTACCTCGAAACTGTGGATTTGAGAGTGCCTAGTCTTTAGCTAGACATTTCAGAATGGTTGGGGTAAACCAAATCCAGGCACCGCATGCTGTCCACCAGATTGCTGAAGAAGGCAAATGAATTCCCTGAACCGGGGATAGTACTGAAGAAAGCTCTCCGCCGGCTGTTCCAAAACGACGGTTCCATTCAAACACACCACCAAAATCATGAGTAACATCACCCTTGGCTGCTGTGGGGTCTGCAGTTTGACAAAGGGCTTGCAGCTTTAAATGTGGCTTCTGAACGACAAGAATGTCAACACTCATAGAAATAATATGAAAAATTATAAAAGTTCTTTGTCAACGAAAGGTTCCGTGATGCTAGAACATTTCCTTCGTCTACTGATCTGTAGTGGATATTTCCGATTGCAGTGCATGGTGATCTTCCTGAAGTGGCAGCATTGACCGTTGAAAACGTGCTGCATTTCAATCCGAAGTGGCACACAAATCCCGTCTCATCACCCATCAGGCAGGTGGCTATCGCTAGCCTAGGAGGTTCCAGGGCCAATAGGAATTATGAGGTAATCCCAGTAGTATTTACGTAAACCATCAAAAGAAAGGGAATGCTAAGTTAAACCAACCTATAATAGCAAACAATGTACTAATCAGCTGGACCTAGAAGCCCAAATCCTGCATCAGTTAGCAGGTCCATGGGGTTGCTCCCAGTAGCCCGGTCCATGTAATTGATATCAAGTCTGGCTGTTTTGTAACCCCTGCGCTGGAAAGCTTTGGTAGCCTCTGCCTTCCCGGCAAAAAAATCAATCCATTGAAAAGGACCCAGACCAGGACCAGGGATTCCTCCATCCTGAAAAAGTTTCACTAACAGGGCGCATCAACACTTTGAATCCCTTCATGGCTGTACTTACCCAAATTTACACTGTAAAAACACATGCCCATCAATCACAGCACTGGTCCTGAAAAACCGCCCGTGACCAGGTATCCTTTGCCGTCCACACCGTGAGCAAGACCGCAAAGACCATCACCTGATCACAATGGCAAAGCACCTAGGCATTGAAGTTTATGAACCTGGAATTACATAATGCTGGTGCAGTGTCAACATAGTATCAAACCCTCAAACCATACTTGTACCATATTGACATTTCAAACAGCCAGGGACTCATATAATATTTTTAATATATCATTGCATTCTTTGTATACAACCCTCAGTTTATCAGTTTGTTTTCAATGATGCATTAAAATATTTTAGTACATAATAGTTGCTCTATATGGACCCCTATGTTTTGCCAAAGAACTTTGGGAGCTCCAATTGTCATGAGACGCCAAACCAACTTGTCAACGAAGCTGCGGCTAAACTCCATGGCTTCTACCACAGACCTATTGGAGTGTGGAATGCACCGTATCCAAAGAAAACAGAAAAGAAGGCATTGACCTTGCTTGGTAATCCACCATGATAATTTTTGCTTGGTGGAAATGAAACATGGCAGTAAAAAAATGGAAATTATATAAGTAGTGCCATGAGTTGTTCATGATGTTGCCAACATGTATATGTGTGAAATCAAGTTTGAAGCATCCTTGACCGGCATCCAAGGAAGTTCTCCGACAGCCCCATCGATCAGCCAGCCACTGGTCCAAAATACGGCTTGGGTGAGGGACGGTCTCGTGATTGGATCAAAGCTCAAGCCCCTTGAGAACTGCATGAACTAGTCAAAGAAGACCTAGGGAATATTTCTCAACAGCATCCCGATGACTCCAATGACCTTGATGTTTTCCAGACGTTTTCGATTGCTTTTTTCAAGGTGTTTCCCAAAAACAGTTCAATACCATCAGACTTTGCCCCGGGAGCTGCACAAACTAGTCAGGAGTGCGAGGGTCATTGTCCAGATCGTTCTTGATGGCCCATCTCCTGCCTCGCAACTTAGGCATACCATGACCTCGGTAAGCCGGCAGCATTAAAGAGAACCCGTGGGATGTTGGGGCATCTATCCTTAACCATGAAATACCACAAAGATAGTATATAACATATATTCGAAATGCATTGATGTTCATTGCCTTGGTGCCTTACCGCATTGATTTCTTGGTATTGCACTGCGATTTCAAATCTTAACAAGACTTCACATCATTGGATCATGGTTGGATGATATCTTGAAAAAGGTATCCAAAACCCGTTAATTTGAATGATATCAACCAGAAAATAGAAACCACACAAACCTGATGATTGTCTGGGAGAGCAATGGACGCCATAGGTGGAAGTAAGAGCCTCTACACATTTTTCTCGCATATGATGCAACGCAGTTTGACACCGCTACAGTAAACCATGTATGGTTCATCTCGAAAAGTCGGACAGCCTATCTAGATTGGTTGCCTGCTGAAACACATGCCTTGTGACGATTGTGGGCCTTCCCAATCTACCCAAGTCCGAACACTGAGGTCAAAATCTATCGCTGTGTGATGTCACATCTGTGGACACTAGTCTGCACTGGCAGCCACCCAACAGAAACAATTAACATATGAACAAAATGGACCTTATTCAAAAATTGGAATGTGTATGATATGGAAAATTGTTTAGATGTGACTTGAACTGTTACCTGCAAAGCTCTACATAGATGGTGCGCTGTATACAGTGCAGATGCTAAAGCATCCAAACGCAGTGGGACACATGAGAATTGTAGAAATCACATCTTGCTGCTCAGCTCATCGATAGCACGCTGGGCATTGAACTTAATCTTCGCCAGCTCCATCTGGAATGCGCCGGTGGGATCGAGATAGGCTTCCAGGATCTCCATCTCAACTGAATCCATCCATTGGATCTCAGATAACACACTGGGTTTGGGAGTGAGCCAGACCCTGTCAAAAAGCATTTTCCCTTTTGAAATTGTGGTTTTGTAATCTTGTAAGCCCATTTCATCCCCAAAAAGAAAAAACATATTTGAAAAATTAGACAAGCAACCATCAGCCAAACACAGGTAAAAGCTGCCGACATTCGCATATTCCATGTGCCGGCCTTGAAAGCAAAGCTGGCCGCATCAACCCACTTGGGGGGCTGCAAGCACAAAGACGCCGCACCGGAACACCTGGTCCAGTAGATGTTGAATCGCAAGCAACCCTTGGTCACCTTGCACTCCACCTTCTTCGAGTTCAACACCTCCTTGAGATCATCATAGGTGCAGTCCTTCACCTCCTTCATGTGCTGCAGGAACACGCCCTTCATGGTGTCATCTTCCATCGCTGCCACATTCTCCACAGGCTGAGGCCGACTCTTGGCCTTAGCCTTCGCCTTTGCCTTTCTCTTACTCTCAGCCTTGGGAATCTTCTTGGGGCCTGCCTTGCGCTTCCCCGTTGCATTCGCCTTTGCCTTGGGCTTCACATCCTCATCGCTATCATCACTGCCATGCGTAGCCCCAGTTGATTGAGCAGATTTAGTTCTAGTTCTCTTGGAAGCCGGCCTCTTCATCACTGGTGGTTCTTCATCACTGTCTTCAACAGCCGGGTCATCCTCCGCCAACTCCTCCTCGGGTTCTTCACCATGGAAAAGGTTGCAATTGACTGGTTCCTCCACGGCTTCGGACTTCTTTCTCTTTGGAGCTGCCTTTGGGGCTTTCAGCTCCTCTTTCTCTTCTCCAGCTTTCTCTGTCTTTGGCTTCCTCCCTCGCTTTTTTGGCGAAGCTTTCTTCTTTGCCTCCCCTTTGGCTTTCCCCTTGCAATTGGACTTTGGTGCACGGGTACCTCTCTTGTGCTGCTCCACATCACCAGGTTCAGTGTTGCCAGGGTCCTCCTCAGCCTCAGTTGGTGTCTTGCCCTTCTTCTTACAAGCGAGCTGATCTTGGCGAGTGAGCACCTGGCGAAAAGATTGGAAGGACAGTTTCTATGTTTTTTTTTGGGGTTGGAGTGGAAAGGTTTGAAATCATGAGGTTGGAATTGTTGTGGCTCTACATGGAAGTGGAAAGGAACATCAACAATGTTGCCTTGTCATGTAAGTCTTCGTATTATGTGATGACTCTACCCTGGCAAACACAAGTTCAATAATGTGCAAACATATCATCACATTTGTGTTGGTTGGCCCCACCATGTCCCACCTCCTTCTTGGCTGCTTTGCTGGGATCTGTGCCGTCATTGGTCGGCTTGTCATAGTCAAAGGAGTCTGAGAGCATGAATGAGTTCTGGGGCGTTGCCAAGGGAACCTCCGCCACCTCCCGCTGATCATCTTCCTTCCCATCCTCCTTCGCATCAGCCACCGCCAATGGCTCGTGATCCTCCACGATCACGTCAAGGTCCAGAGGCAATGTATCAAGAGTGTCCTCCTTGCTACCACCTGGTCAGGTTAAAGGAATTGTAAGAGAAGGGGATGGAAGGCAAATGAGTTGTTTTATTTCTTTCGACAAACTTTGAAACATTCTTTGAACAATCAACTTGATGTTATGTAAGTTCTTTGGAAATTGCATATGGCCCCAGGTGCAAGTATAAATGGAGCCTCGTCTCAATCGTTCGTCCTGCGCTTGTTTCAGAAGATCTGCGGCTTCCTTCCTGAATAGGAAAGTGGATAAGACACTGGGTGAGAAAAAATGTGATATCAACCAACTTTCCAAAGAACCTTAACATTGCATTATATGTTTTTTCGAAAGGATGTCAAATAAGCATGTAGCATGTGGTGCAGGATGTCAAGGTGCCACATGTCCTGTGGTCAAGGGAACTGCTATCATGCTATCCCCATTGTTGCTGGAGCAAACACAGAAATTGAAACCAATAGGCTCTTAACCCTTAAAGCCCCTAGTGAGCTAAAGGATGGTGTCTTCCAGGCCCCAAACCACCGACCAAGCCAAGGAGCTCAGCGAGTGCAGCCTTCCTGGCTGCAATCTTGGCCTTCAATTCCAGCATCTTTTGCTTGCAAGTGCCTTGGATGATCAAGCGTTATGCCAAGTAAAGGAACAGGTTCCCCCTACTCAGCGTTATCACATGTTACCACCAGGCATCATGTGATTTGATCCAACCCCTTCCGGTAGAAAAAAATGTGTGAGAAATCATTTGAAAAATAAATCATCAACAACCAAAGTTACATGTGGTCATAGGAGCCTTGCACAATTGGCAGCATACAGGTTCAGAAGGTGATGCCACTGAACCCGGGGAAGGGCCACCAACCGTAGACCCAGATGCTGGAGACTTCACAGACCCACCGACCTGCGGCGCATCAGCCTCAGGCTTCGCATCCTTGGGCGGAGGTCGAGAAACTGCAGGACGCGAAGGCGCGGCCTCACCCTTGCTCAACTGGTCCAACCAAGCATTGAAAGCAGCGTAATCCTGCTGGGCATCAGGATCATCCTCATCTCCATTCCCATCGTCATCATCCGTAGATGATGACGGAGCGTACTTCGTCATGTACTCATCAATCTCATCCTGGGCCACTGGCTGGCTTGTAATTCCAATTACAGTTCTACGAGATCCCAATGGCTTGTATTTATAAAATCACCAACAGTAAGATGTAGTAAGAGGGAATAAAAGATCTGATATGTAGATGTTTGAAAATTTTGGTGTGGACTGTAAATGATATCCAAAAATACCCAACCAATCCTTCAGGTCCGGATCGAATGCCAGCAGAAGCTCATGGAACAGCGGATCCTCCATGGCACTAAGTCTTGGGGACTGGTTGTAGACATGGAGAGAAGTTAAACGCTGTATCAGGAATATTTTTTTCATATTAATGTTGGGGCCATCAATGTGTATACTATACAATACAATCTGTGCATGAATGAATGGAAACTTGAAGCTTGGCTTGGATCATGACTTGAGAAGGCCTAGCAAGAACAATTTTCTTAGGGGAATGGCTCAACAAGGCGTTTGTATTTTGCAAGCAGTAGTCCTTGCCAAATTCCTTGCGCAAGGCTTTCCTCTTAACGAACCCACACATCTTTTTCAATTCCACTGAAGTGCGGTAGCCCATTTTTTCTTCAAGAGGAAGCCTCAGCCTTCCAAAGAACACGCACACTTCGGCCTGAAGCGGCTCCAAGTAGGGGAGCTTGTAGTCCTTGGTGTGGTAGAGCCTCCGTAGGCAAGGTTTCAAGGCCATAGCATTCGTGATACAATTGGCCCTCGTAGGTTCGCACCACTTCTGCGAAGATGGATGCAAACACATGCACCGTTGCAAGCGACAGCGCTCTCTAAGATCATGGTCTCTGTCCCATATTTTGCCCAAACCTGACACATCCATTGGATGCTACAACACCCCAGTGCTACCTAAGAGACGTAGCCACAAGTGAACCAAAATGCTGCTCAAAGAGATTGGGTAAGTAATCAATTTTTGGCTATCAAGTAAAAGGAATTCAGACGGGTTTCCAAATCAATCTCTATCGATACCAAAAGCCAAACCAAGGAAGAGATCTACATCATCGACACCTTTGATACCTACCTCCGCACCCGGCACTGACAGAAAAAGTGCGCTGGGTGTCCAGGCCCAGGTCTCATCTTCTCCAAATTGTTCACGTTGGAGTGAAGCATTGCCGGGGCAGGCGAATGTTTTGTATCCGGAAGGGAATTGATTGTTGGATATTCATTATATTCAGCGATTGGAGTACTAACCCCAAAATAGACTTGGTGTTCTCACTTAGTGGTGCTTCTTGAGTATCCCGATGGATCCCCTTAACGATATTCTAATCTTATATAAATGGTATTCTCATATATTTACCATTGGACATCATTTCAAGCTAATGTGGGTTCCTTATGGTTTCTTGATCTTCTGATGGATATTTGATGAACTCACCATTGAATCACACACCTACTTTGGGTGTCTTGAGCACAAGGGTAACATTGTAGTTTTCCGGTAGGATCATCCAGAATTGAAAAACATCTTACATAATTCAATGAAATGTCAAGTGAAACCCCCATGGGATGGATTCATATCAAACACGGTTGTGATAAACATCTTAGGAACGATCAAAATACCATGAAAATAGGCTAATTAGAAAAAACCAGTTTTTTTTGTGGAATACTTGTTTTTTTCTAAAGTTACGGCTAAAACCAGGTTATAGGATTACGACCTGAAAAAAAGTAGGTTGATGATGCATAAGGTATATATATATATATACATATGTTTGCCATTAGATTTTACTTGATGTATAGATGTTTATCATTGTTTGTCAGTGAAATTTACTTTACCATTGTCTATCCCCATTTTTTTGATAAACCCATATCGTTTGGACAAACCGTTTGGATCCCTTGGGTCGGTGCGGGTGTTTTGGAAGACCGAGCTTCAGCAGCAGCGATTTTCTTTGGCACGGGCCATGAACCCAGCCTACTGTTCCTCGGCTGGACATTGGCGACATTTGGCGACCCATATTTTCGACCCATATTTTCGACCCATTTTCCATCTTCCGAAAAGCAAGTCGCAAAATGGTGAGACGTGAAGCCGCACTCAGAGCTTGGGCTGTTTAACGCAAGGACCTCCATCACCTTCCACGATGTTTTCGTAGCCGCGGTAAATCGATATAAGTCTTCGATTAGGGTTCTGTCACATCCAAGGCACACCATTTGAACAGTATCCCTGGTAAGACGGAAATGGCATTTCGTGTGGTTGGTCCGTTGTGCTTATTTTGAGTCCATAAGCTACGTAGGTTTGGTGAGCCACACTGCCAGCGACACCCAAGTCTTTGTAGTATGTCTACGTGGATAATGTGGGTTGCCAGGGTTCTGAGCCGGCATTCGAAGAAAGGAGTATGATAAAAGGATGATAAAAGGAACCTTGGAAGTCTTGAGACACGTTGGCACGTCCACGGGACCACTTAGCTGCTTTCCAGGCTATAGAGGATTGCAAGGACCTCAGGATGTCGGGGAGTCGCACGCTGATCACTGTGAGTTCTTTGTGCGTCCCACGAGTCACGCAGCCAGTTGGGACGATGGCTGGTGAGTTTCCAGGATCCAGGGTGAGACTTTTTGCATTTCTAGGCTCAAGAGCTAGTTGAAAAGGAAATGCTTCAACCTCAACTGACAGGTCCCGGTTATGACTCTGTGAGAAGTCAGCCAAGGTGGCTACATCCAGGGCAACAGCCCGGAGGTGCTGCAAACAAAAGACATGGAGAGTCGAAGAATCGACATCAGTCCTGGAGCACCAGCACCTCCAGCGCCCCCACCAGCACCAGCTACAGCTCCACCAGCGGTTCCAGCTCCACCAGCTCAAGATGCAAATCTGCATGGCCATAAGCGCGGTCATTGGATGCATTGCCATCATCGCGCCAGGCTGCACTGCCAAGTCTTGGTGCAGTCCAGGTTGCACCAAAGGCAGCGATTGGCAGCCACCGCTGCTGCCAAGCATGTTTATAGTGCTCCCACTGCCAAGAATCTGGAACGAGCTGGTGGCTCCTCCACCGAACGTCCCAGTCATGAGCTGCTGCTATTTTCACATCTCCACAATGGCATGCAGGCTCTCTCGATCTGCGTAAGGTCTGAACTCTGGATAGTCCAAAGAAAAGAGGCGGCTCTCCACAGCCTTCAACAGCAGGTTGTGTCAGAGTGCGAGAAGCCCGAGTTGGAGCGCAAGAAGCATGAATATGAGATAAGGGCAGTCAGGGCCAAGCACGAGTTGTTCCAGCTCAGGGCAGCAGGGGCAGATGCAGGTCACAGCAGGCTGACAAGAGAGGAACTAGATAGCCTAAAACGAGAAATGACATCCTCTGGCCAGACGGCAGACCTACACCAGAGGTCGGGATGCCTGCAGAGCAGCCTGAGACGCTACCATATACAGCCATGGCACCACTAGCTCCACCAGCCCCAGCTCATGGCATATCACTGCAGCTCCTCACAGGCAAGAATATTTGTAGATTGCTCACTGAAATCTACAAGGTGCTGATGGGATGACAAGGGTTCGCATGGCGTGCAAGATGTCCAGGTACAAAAAGCACACGTGCTTTGCAGGCCAAACGTCCAGGAGCTGACGTCGCATCAAGATCACCTGGCAAGACTTGCAGAAGCAGCTGAAGGCCAGATGCTCTGACTGCTGGGATAGTCTGAAGAGGAACTCAAACAAGATCACCGCGACCATGGTCTGCTCGTGGCCGCTCCCCCAGGAGAAGGTGGATGAGGCCCTCACGCAGGCAGCCTGACGCTGGAACTGGGAGAGAAGGTGGGGGGTGTATCAAGAGTGTTACCCACTAGGTGCCCTAAATCCCTTTAATATAAAGAACCAATGTGACATTTGCTACACCTCCCGGGCGGAGGCGCGTGCCTGCGGCAAGCAGCCGCCTAAATCCTGAGAGGGGTGAGACTTTCGCGAAAAAACCACATACTAGTTCCCCTCCAGTGATTGCCTATAGATGATATTGGTCTCGTCCACATCCTGATCTTGGGCAGAAGGGATGAAGCAGCAGCTGTTCCCAGGGCAGCCGCAAGCCAAATTTCCTTCTGAGTTTGCCAAGGTAGAATATACAAGCTGGCCTTCAGTGATGCACTTTGCTCGCAGTCGTGTGCGGTAATACACGCTCAAGGACTTCACCAGAACCACCTTGAAAAAGGCGGCTGCGATCTACATGGCAGAACCTTCCCAGAGCGTCAAAGCAGTGGAAGAACATTTACACACAACCTTACGTGCCAGCATTGACAGCGAGGTCGTTCCGATCAGCAAACCTCGTGGAAGTTCTCAACACTTGAACGTATTACAAGATCACGGGCCTCGAAGTGGTCCTTCAGACCTGCCAGGAGCTCACTATGCCATCGCCAGAAGAACTCGCACTGCGCACCATACCAGAGACGAAATAGACGACACTGAGAATGATGACGACACATTATAAAGACGAACCAGGTGCATGAGTTCACCTGGATGTTGAGCTGGATTCTAAGCTTGCTGAGAGGGCCCAGACTTCTGATTGAGTTTGCATGGCGTTTTGCCATGGCATGGAGAAAGGCCCTCCAGTTTCACCTAGCGCAGACGACGCCGAAAGGCCAGACACGCCTCTAGCGATCACAAGGACCAAAAGTGACCCAGCTGTAGCTATTTGCTCATGTTTCAGTGTTGATGAATATCCTCAGTGAAATACATTGACGTTTAAAAAGTACAACTTTTGAATAACTTTTGATTAAACCAGGAAAGATCAGGTTGAATGAATCCTGAGGGATAGTACAGTTTTGATATTTTTGATCGAGTTTGCAAGTATTGCAAGGCCTCTAGCGATCGCAAGGACCTCAGGATGTCGGGGTGTCGCACGGCTAGTCGCTTAGCACCGAAGTCAAGAGGTGATGTGATGGTGATAGGATGATCGATTCTGGTTGATGGAGGGATTTGACCAGGGGAGACCCAGATCCAAATCCAAATGATCCATGCTCTCAGGCGTCAATTGCTCCCATCACTTGCATCCAGTGGCTTGGAATGACTGTGGATCCATGAAATCCAGGTCTTTTTTTCAGATTCGAAATGCCGACTTTTGCATTTTCAGGATTTGGGCAGTGCAACATTTGCTGAGGTTTCCTCTTGTCTATCTTGAGTGGTCAAACCAAGAGTCATACCTTCCATGCAACTTCCGTATGGTCATGTTTGTGATGTGGTGTTAATGGGGTGTGGCAATGTGTTGAACCCTCCTACATTGGGTGGAACTGGTTCTGGTATGTTCTGGTAAAAACGTTCACTGATGCATCTAAATCATCCAAAGATTCTCTGAACAACCATATTTCAGGGCATAGCCATGCATGGCCGGCATAGCTTTAACATGATCCAAGAGGCTATGATTCTGGATGTGGTGATTGGGCTGATGGCCTTGGTGACCCTGCCCGGTTGCCCCCCAAAGAGTTGAATGACTATCAACCCAAGCAACATGTGATTTGGGAAGCGTCATCCGCATCTCAGGTTTGGTGCCAACAGCCTTTTCAGCTCCACCATGAAGGCCCCCAAACCTTGGCGTTTTATTGGGTTCAGACTCTGGCAACGTCCCCAGTACTCCAAGTTGACTCCCAATTACTTCCAAGTACTTCCAAGTTGGATGCGTCTTTGATATTTCAGAAGATCAGGACACGCTGGTTTTCCGTCAATCAGTTCAATCGTCAAAATGGGCCCGCTATAGCGGCCTCCATTTTCATTTGTTTTCACCTGACGAGCATCCATTGATGCAAAGCCTTGGTGTTGGTCATGGCTCTTGTCCCAAGTCCCAAGTCACCATAGTCATCCCCTGGACAGGCAGCCAAAGGTGACCCAGCTGCAGCTGCTGAATGTTTCAGTGTTGATGAACATCCTCAGTGACATGCATTGAAGCTGAAAAGTACAACTTCTGATTAAGCCAGGAAAGATCAGGTTGAATCCTGAGGGATATAAAATACAATTTTGATATTTTTGATCAAGTTTGCAAGTATTGCCAGGTCTATGCAAGGTTTGATGAACCCTCAGTGGTCGGGACATTATGCATGCATCTGCACACTTGGTATGCCGAATCGCAGTGATCAGAATTGAGTTTGAACCAGGAAAAGCTGAGCTGAATGAATTTGAGAAGCTTTTGTCGGCCGTCTTGGCTGGTGAACCTTGGCTGGTTGTCAGTCGAGTCAGTCGAGCTAGTCAAGCTGGTTGGATCTCCCTGTTTTCGATGGTGGCATCCTAGGCAGTCCTCCTCGAAATGTTTCTCGATGTCTCTGGACATCTTTGGATATTCCTATCATTGAAAGCGAACCACTGAATTTCTTGTGAATTGTGCCTGGTCCGGTCCTTGTGTTGGGCATTGAAACCTATCAAACCTAGCAAGCCTATGAAAGGATAGGGCTGTTGCCAAATGAATCTGAACCAGATTAACATAGATTGACAATTTTGGATAACTTTGGGACATCTTTGGGTGAGGCCGCTTCTGCCTTGGTGCAATGTCCGTGCCAGTTGGTTGAAGTCGCTTGACCTTTTTGTGGCTGGATATGGCTGGATATTCCGAACAAATTGCTTCAAAGTGGATTTGATGATTTAAACATAGCTAATCCATGTTAAACCATATGAAACCTTGAGTGGCGACATTGCACTGAGTGGACAGGCTAGTTTGTTCTCTGGCTTTTACATAACTTGCTGAACTCTATACGTGGGGGTAGAGACGTCATGTTTTCGGTGACGCGCAGCTGCCGAGCCTCATGGCGATCAATGTCATCAAACATCATTCACTTCTGTGTGCATATGACGCCCATGATATGCATTGACATGCGCTCCTTTTTTTTGTATTTTGAGTTATTTTAAATTTTAATGATATAAATATGAAATAAACATATCTAGGTCCAGGTGTTCGAAAATGCACTGGTCACTTCGCTGGATTCTTTGTTCCTCTTGTTCTCCCTTGCGCTGCAAGAAGACCGCAGTTGATCTGAGATAACCCCTGACTTGAGATTCGTTGCCATTTTTGCTTGCAATAACTTTCCATAAATTCCAGTCGAATTCTATCCAAGTCCCAGAGTTGTTGGCACCGGTTGGCATGTTCTCTCATCTTTCTCGGCACAAGGTGAATCAGTCAAACCATGGTTCATCCATGCTTGCGACTGCAAGGCACTGGTGGGCTGAAGGATGAGTTGATGGCGATGGTATTTGATGGTTGTACCATGTTGTACCAAGGAACTACAGCATCTGTGGTTGTTGGCCTTTGCGAACAAATGGAGCATAAGCTAAGAGCTGAGAGCATTTAAGGCATACTTGGCCCATCTTCTCCCTTAATCAGACAGCATTGCTGTGAGAATCGTCGCCTTCAGCTTCTCGGAGATGTTCCTCATGGATTCTGCGAGACAGGATCCAACTGATTCAACTGATCCAGGCGTGTGGTGTCACAGAATGGCCTCCTTGGTCTTTACCGTGGATATACCATGGGAGCCATACGTGAAGGCGCCCAGGGGCTGTGGCTGTCGAGGAAAACAGTCGCGATAAGACATGGCAGGCTCACATTGCAGATGTTCATGGCAGGTTTCATAACTTCCAGAACCAAATTGAATTGTCCAGGTCCAGGTTTTCTGTTCAGCTTCTGCAGTGATCTTGAATTCCAGACTCTTGTGGTCTTGCTAGAGTATATGCTGTTGTGGTCCTGAGGCCAGGAAAAGGACGGAGACCAGAATATGACCCATGACCAGTGACAATCCCCATCACTTTGGCCCATTGGAGTGTGTATAGATGTGTATAGTTGGAGCCCCGCACCACCAAAATTGCTAAAGCAATGTGTTTGTGGCGCGCATCTTGTGTAGCAGTTTCTTGTTGACAAAACCAGACAGACAGACCGATAGATAGATAGGTAGATAACATAGACACATAGATACATTTATACATTGATACATAGATACATAGACACATAGATAAATAGATACATAGATACATAGATACATAGAAACATAGATAGATAGATAGATAGATAAATAGATGATAGATAGATAGATAGATAGATAGATAGATAGATGATAGATAGATAGATAGACAGATAGATCGATCGATCGATCGATTGATAGAGAGATAGATAGATAGATAGATAAGATAAGATAGTCAGATAAGATAAGATAAGATAAGTAGATAGATAGATAGATAGATAGATTAATACATTAGATTAGATTAGATTAGTTTAGATTAGATAGATAGATAGATAGATTAGATAGATAAATTAGATAGATAGATTAGATAGATAGATAGATAGATCAGATAGATAGATAGATAGATAGATAGATAGATAGATAGATAGATAGATAGATAGATAGATAGATAGATAGATAGATTAATACATTAGATTAGATTAGATAGATAGATAGATAGATTAGATAGATAGATTAGATAGATAGATTAGATAGATAGATTAGATAGATAGATAGATAGATAGATAGATAGATAGATAGATACATAGATAGATAGATAGAGAGTGGGATAGATAGACAGATAAGATAGATAGATAGATAGATAGACAGATAGATCGATTGATCGATCGATCGATAGAGAGAGAGAGATAGATAGATAGACAGAAAGATAGATAGATACGATAAGATAGTCAGATAAGATAAGATAAGATAAGATAAGTAGATAGATAGATAGATAGATAGATAGATCTATAGATAGATAGATAGATCGACAGACAGACAGACAGACAGATAGATAGATAGATAGATTAGATAATAGATAGATAGATAGATAGAGAGATAGATAGATAGATAGATAGATAGATAGAGATAGATAGATAGATAGATAAGATAGATAGATAGATAGATAGATAATAGATAGATCATAGATAGATAGAGAGATAGATAGAGAGATAGATAGAGAGATAGAGAGATAGACAGATAGACAGATAGATAGATAGATGGATAGATAGATTAGATAGATAGATAGATAGATAGATAGATCGATAGATAGATAGATAGATTAGATAGATAGATTAGATTAGATTAGATTAGATTAGATTAGATAGATAAGATAGATAGATTAGATAGATAGATAGATAGATAGATAGATAGATAGATAGATAGATAGATAGATAGATAGATTAGATAGATAGATTAGATAGATAGATAGATAGATAGATAGATAGATTAGATAGATAGATTAGATAGATAGATTAGATAGATAGATTAGATAGATAGATAGATAGATTAGATTAGATTAGATTAGTTTAGTTTAGATTAGATAGATAGATAGATAGATTAGATAGATAGATTAGATAGATAGATTAGATAGATAGATTAGATAGATAGATAGATAGATAGATAGATTAGATTAGATTAGATTAGATTAGATTAGATAGATAGATAGATAGATAGATAGATAGATTAGATAGATAGATAGATAGATAGATCGATCGATCGATCGATCGATCGATTGATAGAGAGAGAGAGAGAGAACTTATCCAAGAACACTCTCTGCGTAGGTATTTTCTGCAGCTCGTACATGGCAATCAATCCAATGGTTAAAGGCTGGATCCACGAGAGAGAACTGGATGCCTGGCTGTGCCGATGGTAGGAATTGTGGTGATGATGATTGTGCTGTGATCAGCGGGCACCATCGGGCACCTTTGACAGTGGCATGTTTGAAAAACCCAAGGAACTCTCAGACAACAGCACCACATTGCTTTCATCAGACGCGTGGCCTATGCAGCTTTTGTGTTGTATTGTTTTGTTCTTTTGTTGTGTGTGTGTTTTCCACTAATCGATCTAAGATGATCTAAACGGTATTTCCAGTCATACGCACAGAGAAGATCCGGGCCACGAGGGGGGGTTTGAATCTTCATGTTTCGTTGTTTTTTTAAATCTTTTGACCATCTATTCGATATACTTTATGCTCGTACTGTACGTCCGAAGAGAGACATGCTGCCTGCTTGTTCCGTTTAATGTTTTTGTTCTCAAAATTCCTGAGTGTCACAATAGGCTCTACGAGCACTCGTGTGTTTGCCTTTTCCTCGTTTCTGCAACTGTTTGTCGTTCACGCTGTGCCCCTCACTTTCTGCCGATGAAACACTTCAACACTCGATTTGTTGTAACTGGCTGGAACACAACATAGATGTCCTTTTCCCATTGGTTGGTTGATGAAAATAGAGGGGTTTGAAGGTTTACCCTTTAACAACAGGTAAATGATGATCGCAGGTAAATGATGATAGATGGTATACCACAACACAATGGAAAGACCACAATAGACCACAATTTTTTCCATGCCGCACAGCTTCACAGCTCCACTGAGGTTGTTAGCGGCACCTTGGGTGCAGCTCTGTCACATCCCGCAGACACTCTGAAGACACGCTTGCAAGCAGGAGCACCTTGGCCATCCTTGGCCTTCCGTGATGACCTTCCTGCATCTTACTTTCATTACCCGGCCTGGTAAACATACAAAAAACGATGGAACATCACCATCTTTAATGAGTAAATCCACTATTTCTATGGCCATTTTCAATAGTTTTTTGTTTACCAGGCCGGGTATCATTTTTCTCCCTTTTTCAAGTCAGGAATCACTGGAATCACTGGACTTTGAGGGTGACATGAGAGGGTAACTTCCACCCCGGTACCGCTGAGGCGCTTCCACTGCGCCCTGGAGAACCTGCTGAGGCCCAGCTTTATATGTCGACGAATACCGTCATGAAGGAGATAAGCAGCTTAGATTGTAAGATCTGATAAGATCGATAAAGAATAGATAAACGATGAACTATATGAAATCCAAGAACATCAAAGAGCGTAGTTCGTGTAGGTGAATCGATTCTCATTGATTCGGCCTCTCAGAGTGCCCGGGAGTTGTTTTGTCGCGGAGTGACAGAATTAGCTGTGAATTCTGCCATGGATGTCCTGTTTGTTCCGAGGTTTTTGTCTACCCCCCTCGGCCTCAAGTCAAGTCTTTCAGAGAAACAAATACCTTAAGAGGTTCAGCATCACTTGCTATGACAAGCAGTAAGACATAGTAAGATAATGAGCATAGGATCCATGTATGCCATATATGGTAACATTTACCATTAAGATACCCCCTTTATGTTAGCATATATACCAGCACCATGGATCCTATGGGTAATGAGCTAATCGAGTCATAGAGCCATAATGAAAGCCACTATTGAAGCTTTTTGACGGAAACTTTCTCAGGCGAGCCGCATCTCCGGTCCCATTGCAGCACTGAAGGACCCAACGAGTTGACATGGGATACCGTAAAGTTTCAGACGCTGTAAGAGTCTTTTTTGAGGTAACAAATTGGCCAACTTAGAACTTTAGAATACTTTAGATAGAAAATTGAATCATTAGTACATTAGATATTAAGTATATTGACAATATCTACCAATATCATGGCCAATGAAATTCAAATGGCCAACTTGGTCTAATATTCTTTAGATAACTTTGGTACTGCGTATTAGACCAATAACCACTGAATACTTGTTCAAGTGGTGAAGTAACACAAAAAGGGCGAGGAATCCGACCAACGACTGTGCCATTTTGCAACACAATCAGTTTCTTTGTCACGCAAGGATTCTTATCATTCGAGAAAACAATCAGTATGTCAATCGATCAAGCAAACAAACAACGTTATCATTGCACTATGACAACAAACCATGCTGGGAAGATTGAGTTCTTTATTGTTTTCACTGTCATTATTGCAATCTATGGTTCACGGGAAGTATGGCCTGAATTCTCCTGAATTAATCCCCATCTTCACAGCATAGCACTTGATAGGCAACTACTAAGCTCCATCGCCATTTCCTGCCTCTGACCCGGTGGCTTTGTGAGTTTTCATTATCATCCCTTGGCCAATGTCGATTGAGAGGAGCAATTTCATCCATAAATTATATAAATTATATACCCTCTGGCCCTCTGGTTATTTAACATAGCCATGGAAAATGGACCATTTATAGATGGTTTACCTGGGTTTACCTATTAAAAGTGGTGATTTTCCATGGCTATGTTAAATAACCATATGGTACATACTACCTACACTCATTCATGCCTATCTGCATATAATACTTATGGAATCTATGTCGACATACTCTGTGCCAATTGGTGCCTACTTTTCTTGGTTGTTCACTCTTTCGATCACCGGGGATGAAGGGCTGCGGGCTGCGCCAGGACATCAGTGAGAAGGGCGACCTTTTGAAGAAATGCTTCGCAGGCAGCTCGATCTCCGAAGATGGGGTGAAACGACGCATTTTTTCACAAATCCAACAAGGGGAATATGGAAATATATGGAATGTAAGGGGATTTTTTCGCAACATGTGGTGTTGTATGGTGTTGTCCAAAAATGGGGACAAGGATTTCAAGTATGATCTTCTGGGATACTCTATTTCACTATATTGTTGTCACTGTATACGTGCTATACATCGATATATTGTATCAGTGGCATTAATAGACCCAATCTTGAATCCCATCGCATACCTATGCCTATACTGGTTGTTCGATTCGTGGGTATGGGGTCAAAATTTGAAGAGACACGCTGAACCCCGAGTCGAACAGCTCTATACTGGTAATTCTTAGCATCTGTTAACATCGTCGCTTGCAACACACTCAGCCATTGCATTGGATATAGGAATGGAGGAATGCATTCGTTTGTTGTTGTAAAGGACTCTGCGATTATTGTGTGTGTTTTTTACTTGTCGAAAAGTATGAACTTTCCTGGCGTTCATGATATTGCTTTTGACAAACAAATCCACGATGATTGAAGCTTCCGCTTGACTAAAGTCTGCATGCAACAATGATGTTCGCCAGCTACGCAGGTTTCTCTCCCCGATTATTTCGATTGATTTGCTGCACTTATATCTACAGCCCCTTGGCTTTGATTGTTTCTCTTTGCATCACCATCGTTGCACTGATTTGACGTTGAACTTGAAGGTCCATGGTCTCCAATGTTGGTTAGATAAGTTTGCATTAGAGATTCCACAAGTACCCGCCCAAGAATAGACATACTTTTCATTACCGTTCAAAGTATTGTTTGGGGATTCAAACGTGGGTCAGTTTTGGAGACAGTCCGACACACACTTTTTGAGATGTGATTCAACTGCCCAAACGACCTTCCACTGGGGATCCACTTGTAGCTTAAGGTGAACAACCACAATTGTCTTGTTACCATCCTGGTCCTAGTCTTCATGTCCACCAGCGCAGCGCAAAGCACCGCGCATTGCGCGAATCCTCTTTTGGGCCCAGGTACCTGTACGGAGTCGTTAGAAGCGCTATGGCATTCAGCTACAGTGCCCTTGGTGACACGATGTGACAACAGACGATCCATGATTTTTCGCTGTTTAGAGACAGCTGGATGACCATTTTTGAAGGTTCAAGAAGCGATGTCTAGGACATTTCTCCGTTTAAATCTGTGCCATATTGCAGAAAGTGTGAGCAAATATGGTGTTTTTCCTTGACAAAGAACAATAGAATCTGGGAAGGATTGATGCATTGGAATTAGCTTTCTCAATCTCCTTTGCTTAAAGCCACCCACCTCACAAACACCTTTGGTCCCAAGCAGCTGAACTCGACCAAATTGACTGTTGAATGTCCCCAAATGTCTGAGGTGGATCTGGTGGTGGGTGGCACAAGAGTGCAAGTCACCCAGAGCTACAACACCTAGGCCGCATTGCAACACCCTGTGTGTTTCTCGATGCCGACATCATGGTTTTCCCAAATATGAATGGACATCTTAGCCTGACAGGACAAGTATTGCCTTCTAATTCTTCCTGAAGGATTTTCTTATGTAGTGGTTTGAAATGTGTGTTTTAGGCTTAGTCGTGACATTTCTTGGCTTCCAGGGACGTACTCTCGTTTTCTTGGCTTCCAACTTGCACCCTTGCAAGAAGCTACACGGGTGGGATCAGATATTGCAAGAATCTGGTATCCTGGGCGGTAAGACTGCAAAGTTTCTGAGCAAGACCAGAAGCACTTCCTTTGAAACATATGTATCATATATTAATATATATTTTATATTATAGATACACAGAGCGTCCCAGATTTGTCATACTGATTCTTTGGAGATCTTTGGAGTGCGAATGCATTTTGAAGCTTCTGTGATTTCTGCGTTTCGTCCTTTTCGTGTTGGTTTGGTCGACCCTGGAAGGCTTCCAACTGCCATATTACCTGAAACATGACCAGGCTTCCAGCTCTGGTAGCAATACCAAGTCGCTCTGTTGGGCTGAAAAAGCCACCAAATTTGTTGCCGCGCCATGTTGAAGTTTGGTGGAAAAGACTTGGAAGTGGTAGCACCGGCAGCAGTGCAAGAAAGGTTCTAGTCCTTGCCCAGCGTTTTAGCATATAGGGATTGAATGTAATCATATAACCCCTAGGATCCATGTATGCCATATATGGTAACATTTACCATTAATATACCCCCTTTATGTTAGCATATATACCATACATGGATCCTATGGGTAATTGTAAGTGACTCAGCATTGATTCAGGAAGTGGCCCTTTGCGAACCTCGGACTGTCTGGACTTAAGCTTAAAATGTTGTACATTCCGCTGGAAGCATGTTGTGACTTTTTCGCGCTGCATGGCTGGCTACAAGACATCATGAGGTGCATTCTTGATTGAGAACAGGTGAAAGAATATGAAACTGCTGGCTTTGTAATCTGCACTTGGGCATTTGTGTTTGTTTCCAACAGCAAACAGCTTGCAACCTAGAGATTCTTTACTGGCCCACTGGTTCCGTTCCACCAAACGTTGCTTGCGCCTGGCTCAGCCAGACATAGGCCACATAGGCAGACCATTTGCGGTCGCACCACTTTGGCGTCAAAGTGCACAGCGCAGCAACCATCCCTGACATGACACAATTCAAGCTTTGCTGCTATCCTACTTGGTCTCAATCCGTGGCAAAATCCCCGCCCAACATGGGCCCAACATGTGTGCTTTTTTGGCAGAGTATCTGATAAGGGGAGATGCGAGAACCAGTGGTTTTAAGGCAGTTTTAGAATGTTTAGACCCCAGACCCCCATCAGTTTCAGTCGAGGATTGGTTGTAAGAATTTGTAAGACGACTCCGGGGCAGTTTTCCCCATTTTCGCAGTGAGCGCCACTGCCCGCGGGTGGAGCTTTCGCGCACAGTGTGGTCTGCAGCTTGGGTCGCAGAGAAGCTCTGTGATTCTAAAGGGCCAATGTGATTGACTTGTGCCTAAGATAGATTTTAGTTATTATAATATGTTATAATTATACAGATACACAATTCAGTGATTGGTATATCTTGGTAAATATAGAGTTTGGCTTCAGATGATTTCCGCCTATCAGGAATGAATTTGCCCATTTGAGCAAGGTTTTTCCGTGTTGACCAGCCCAGATTCTGTGGAACACCCTGGCGCGGCGACATCCAAGAATTCGAGGGCGTGTCAGGAAGCTCCAAGGTGAACCACCTGAGGAATCATTCCTTAAAACATCAGCCGAATGCAATCTGCTTCGGATGAGATTTGAAACCTGGCAGTTGTGAATGTCACTTAACATGTCAGCAAGTTCTGTGTTTTTTTTCACCGGGTTTCTCAGTTATTATACGCTATTCATGGAATATGATAGGGTTTTCAAAAATACCCAATATTTCATGGAATGAATTCACCGGGTTTTCATGGATATAGGCTAAGCTATGGATGTTATAATGGTTCTCGAATATCTTTCATCATGGATTTCCAGACGGATTCCCCTTCGATGTCTCCGTCCCTGCCCCGGGGCCATGGGGCCAATCTCTTGTGGCCGGGACCTGTGGGACCTGCAGTTGCGATGGGATCAACCCAGGCACTGGTTGAAAGGAACCGGCCAATGGGGGTTCTGAAGTGTCGACTGCTTGGGACCTCTAAATGTCGTGTTATGTGTCGTGTCACCGAAATCCATCGGAAGGTCTCGGAGATCTTAAATGACAATGGAAATCTATGTGTCATGCTCAAACTGATCCATGGTTGAGATTCCTTTTGGGGAATGGACTTGCAAGCACAGCCATTTTTTGTTTCCACATAAACCTGGCTACATTCTGATCATTCTGTCGAATTCGTAGTGATTCCAGGTGCCACGCAAGATTACAGTATTTTATACACATTTATTATGTAATATATTTGTATATACTCTACATGATCTTGTCCCTGCACTTGTGCTATGATATACTATGTATCACTCATGAGTGCATTTCGCATGCTAATGTATTCCATCTTCCGTTTGGGGTGTAGAATCAAATGTGGATTGCCAAGCAAATTGGGCGTGCTGATTTTGACAACGGAAGTCTTGAAATACTTGGGACGGATAAGGCGGATAATCAAGTTCCAATATGGCCATCACAGGTCCTTGCTGGCCTTTGACGCAGCTGCTGGCTGCGTAATCCGATTCTTGAGTAGAGTGGAAGGTCATTTGGCACAGCTTGATCAATTTTTTCAGTGAATCTGGTGGTATAACTTCTTTGACGGAATCACGACTGTCGCTTAGATTTTACTAAACCCAAAGCAACGTGGAAGAATTTGGTTGGATATAGGACCTGCAGTGGCACCGCTTCAGCAATACATTCGGATGATTGTATGTAGATACACAATTGATACACATACATACATAGGTTTACATGTTACGCATGCTACATGTTACACATGTTGCATGTTACACGGAATCCATATATACATATGCATGTGTATATTCATATCCCAAAAATATGTACCTGTACGTATATGATGTACAGTTACACGTACATTCATATTACATATCTGATATACAAATATGCAGATAATGAAATAGAATATAATGATAAATGCATGACATATGACATACACATGATATACACACATAATATATGTACTATATACAGTATTTGCATATAGATTTGTTGTACACTGGATTCCTCGAACTGATGGTTCCAGTCGTGTTTCAGTTCCTTGATGATTCATGGAATGGCTATTTTCAATGGTGAAATTCCTCATTCAGCAGGGTTTTGATGATGGCCTTGCCAAGATGCTTCTACATGACTGCCCGCGCAGCTCCCACCCCAATCGGTCCATGTTTTCTGCTCTTAACAAAGACATAGCTGTTCTACATGGATTGGGATTGGAACTGAGCTCATTGGCGCTGGTGAAAAGCCCAAGCACATAATGACATACCTTGGTGATTCAGAATTATGAAGGAATGCAACTTTTCTCGGAGTTTGACCAACGGCTTGTTTCTTCTGTTCCCCACCTGCCAGGTGAGGGTCTCTAGATGCAATGGGCAAGCCCCTGGATCCGAACTCACAGAGAGAATGCCAGAATAGATGCCAGAAAGAATGTCAGAGTATATGCCAGAAAGAATGTAATTAAGATAGAATGTCAGAACAATTAATTATAGAATATATGTAATTATATATATATGCCATATATGCTTCCAGATTCTATGTCAGAAACTATGTCAGACTAATGTGTCAGGGTGGGGAACACTCGAAGTAAAGTATTTTGTTGATTTTTCGAGGGAATCTAAGGTCTCAGAAATTACCCAGCCATTTGCTTCCAACTTGGTCCCATGTCTTGAGCTTCAGCCAGTTGCGTCCGCCCTGACCAGGCAAACCGAACCAAAAAAACGCTGGGCACCGTACCGGAACTTGCCATGAGACAAGCGAGCCGGAACAGATCAATACAGCACATCTACACAACAGATCAATAAGATACATGGATATAATTGGCTGATACAGATGCTGAAATAGCATGAAATAGTTCGAAATTGATAAAGATAGGGTATGAATGAGATGTGTCGATCTGTAGCGGAACAACACTGGGTAGTCGATATGCTGATGGGCGACTATAAATGATCCTATGCAGACTTGAATCCAAGAACTCCATTATCAACAAGGCGCACGTGTGTGTGGACTGCATTTTATAGTTCATTGAGCTTCCATGTTTGGGGAACGATGTGTGCGTTGACAGCTGGATTTCAGACGGTGATACCCGAATCTGGATGGGGATACTGTGATAATCTGTGATAGCTGATACCTTCTTGTAGTTTCCCAGTATGCGATTTGCCCGGAGCAATATTTCTTGCTTGAAGAGTAATATTGAAATGTGGGCAATCTGGAGGTGCCAGGCTTTGTCAATGTTCAGAGAATTTTCTGACGCTGACATTGCGAATCACTTTGCGAAACATGGGCTGTGCCGGACATTGCGTAAAGTGCCGAGCAGTGGCCAAAGTGCTGAGCAGCCAGCAACCAAATCAGCAACCAAATGGAAGTTTACGGTCGACGAAGGTGGCAGAATTTCAAATAAACAACGAAATTCATGGGGCATCATATCCTACAAAATGAGTTGAAACCAAGATGCAACGAACTTTTGCCCAGGGTGCAGATTGAAAAATGAGTTGAAACCAAGATGCAACGAACTTTTGCCCAGGGTGCAGATTGAAATTCGCTGGCTGCTGCAGATGAAGGCTTCTGTTCGCCGCAAGCTGTCAGCTCAAAGCTACTCCATACCCAATACGTGCCTCACGCAGGTTTTCGAACGGGACTAGCGATCCTTCCACACACAGAGGATGCGAAACCCTGCTCAAAAAACTGTGAAAGTGTAGAGGAAGGCATGGCGTGAAATGAGCATCGTATCATGATAGATCAGTAACCTCACAAACTTGGATTGGTTGTGGCTTTTGATCTCAATGGCAGTTTTTCTTTGATCCCTTACCCATTACCCATAGGATCCATGTATGCTATATAATATATGGTAACATTTACCATCAATATACCCCCAATGTTCGCATATATACCATACATGGATCCTATGGGTTAGTTATTGTATGTTATTGTCATTAATATTGTCATAGGATATCAGGTATTTAAGATGATCAGCAGACAGATCAGCTGATTGACATCGACCATACCCAGGCAGCCCAGGCACCAGTGATGTTGGCGATACCGCCAGCTAAAAGCTCCAGTTTGACCTCCCGCCCAGTGGCGCCCGGTGGCCCAGGATCTCGAAATTAAAGCGGTAAGAAATATCGAAAAATCATCGAAATTACTATGCAATTATGGGTTTACTACAAATTTTACCAGCAGTTTGAGCCGTTTTCACATCAGAAATGCTGTCCTTATCCTGTCCCTCCACTCAGGAGTCCGTGGCAATTCCCTGGCACAGGCTTGGGCCAAAATCCATGGCCATGAGCTGGTTACATCTGGTTACACTGGTTGTCCACGAATTGACCCAATCAGCTGGTTACATATGTTACATCAGGTTTTGAACTTCACTAGTTTTGCAAGTTGAGTGCCATTCTGCTGGTGATTTGCCCTAAAGGGCATCCTTTGGCCAAGCTACAATAGCAGTCGCCATGGGA